GCCACCGACGTTGCACTTGCATCTGAGGGAGCCGACCTTCGTGCGGTCGTCGTGCACGATTTGAGCATCACGGCGACGACCGGTATGGTCGCTTCAGCTGTCGCTGCGGCCATTTATGTATCGACTTCAGGCACGTCGGCAACGATATCATCGCCGCCTGTGACGACAGACGACCAGCCAAGTGCTGGCGAAACCTCGAGCGCGCTGGGCTCAGACAACATCCCAGACAAACCCGTCGCTTGCCAGCAGGAAGCGGTCGCCATCGTTACCCACGAGCTCTGTGTGGCAGTCGCGTCGGACGCTGTCTCCACTGCCATGCACACTGTGTCGTCGTCAACTCTGCTCGCCACAACCGAGTCTTGCTTCGTGGCCGAGTCGGAGCCGGCCGTCGCCATTGACCAGAGTGACGTGACGCCTGACCCGCCGCACACTACGGCGGCCACAACGGTGAACGACGCCATCCATGCTGCGGTGGATGTGCTCACATCCCAGAAGCACCTCAGTGATGACACGCGCATCGTCGCTAGCGAGGACAAGCCCGAATCGACGAATGGTGATGAACCAAAGTCGATGCCACCAGCCGACGACGACCCCAGCGCCGCGGAAATTCGGTCCCGAGAGACTTTAACTTTGATCGCCAGTATCGACTCTGCGCAAGTGCTGCAACGAGACGACGCCACGACGAGCATTTGCCAAAACGCGGTCGTTCTTGATTCCGATACGGTCGTTGATGTCCCCGACAACACACTGCGAACCCTGGCAACGGCGCTTGTCTCGGATGTGATTCAAGCGGCCTCCGAGTCGAACGACCACGACAACCATCTTGACGCAGCTAGTATCATCGAAGCCAAGACATTCGAAGACAGCGACGTATCGCGGCGTACGGACGCCGCAGCTTTTGAGGCAAAGTCCATTGCCAGGTCTCCGCGTGGCGACGACGTGGGCGACAAGGCGCTGCCTCAAGAAGCCGACGAGTCCAAGACGAGCTCGCCCGACGCTCTACACGCGTTGGCGGCTACAGTTACCGCCACGGCAATCCAAGCTGCTGCCAAAGCGACGATGTGGGAAGAAAAATCCGACGTTGAATCGCCGCCGGCCAAGCTCACTAGTGACCAAGGGATCGCGACCGGCGATGCGGCGTTGGTCGATGGTGCAGTGGGCGCGGCCGAGGTCGCTGATGCCAAGGACATCGACTTAAAAGACACGCCAGACGACGACAAGTCAACACGTGTTGCCGCCGGCACATCCCGTGAGATTTTACACCAATCGGCGACGGACATGGTGGCGGACGCGATCTCTGTCGCTAAGAACGGGCGTACGGACGAGCTTGAGCGGGCTGAGTTCAAAATGCAGTCGCACGACCAGCTGGAGCACGATGAAACGACCGCCGACGAAGCAAAGCCGCTGTGCGTCAACGACGAGGATAGTGCTGCCATGCTCACCGATACGAAGGAGGCGCAAACAACGCCCGTCGCGGTCGTGATGGCCAAGGGCGCCGATGGATCGAGCGACACAGCGCAAGAAGTCGTTCAAGGCGACGACTTGGTGGGCGAAAACGACTCGGTGCACGAGACGGATCCGTTTGCCATGGCTCTAGCAATCAACACGGTTGCCGAGGCGACGTGGAGTCATGTGCTGCAGTCAGCAACAGTGCGCGTTGCCGATAGCCAAATCAATACTGCTCAACAGGCGTCGGCTTATGAAGCAGCTTTCATTCCCAAGCTGCCGCTACAAGGCGTTGCGAGCTGCCAAGACGAGGCGCCTCAACCTACGGCGAGTGTTCTCGCAGTACAGCCAGCACCAGCTGTGACCGAGCCGGATGAGACCGCCCGCGACCTCAATACTGTGGTCTCGAGCACGGAGGTGTCGAATGCAATTGTCGAAGGGATCCAGCGGTCGCGACCAACCATAGTGGACACCTCGCATGAAGTGACACATGATCTCGACAACTCCACAGAGACACGAAGCCCCTTGGACTCTGCTGTCCCTGCAGCTGGTGTGCTCCCGGGTCTGAGCATTGCACCTCTTCCACTGCACCTGCTTCAGCGTGTGCGCAGTGCATCGACCATCACCGTCGACTCACTGCTCCAAGAAGGGATCGCTCGCGCCAGCGCCGTCTTTGCAGCAAACTCCGAGAAGCCTCCAAGAAACAGCGCTGCACCGATCGAGCCCGTGCGCATCGAGTCAAGTCCAATTCCGGCACCACAGTCCGACGAGACCAGCAGCGTGGCGAACGAAGCCACCAATGCCCCGAAAGAGTCAGCACGTGAAAAGGTCCTGGACGATATTGTGCTACTTTTGCCGGAGTCAGGCGAGAAAGCGACCAGCGACGGAAAGGATGAGTGCGCGAACGGCCTGGGCCAAGAACGTTTCGACAACCAGTCAGAGAGCGGGCAGCGCGAGGTCCCACACGTGCAGGTCATGCTCAGCCACACTGTGGACGGCTTTGTACACGATGGCGTTGAACTCGCGATGCAGACTTCGGTCAAGTCGAGCGATGAGAGTCCAGCAAAGAACGATCTCGCGAACGACGCAGTGCCACGGCGGGCCACGGAGCCCGAGGATCGCGCCTCGATGAGCGACGATTCGCTGGGCATGAACCCTGCATCCGAGTCGCCAAGGGAAAACCAAGACGAAAGCAGTGGGTCTCCAGAGCCACCAAGCTCTTTTTACACCACAGCGCCCACCGTCACTGACTTCGCCAACCTCGTCAGGTCGACGGTAGACTCGATTCTTGACGAAGCTGTGACACGTCACACGTCTTCAAGCTACATACCGCTTCTGGCACTACCACTACCCACGCAAGTCGTCACATCACCCCCATACCATCCCTCCAGCAGTTTTATCGAAACCATTGGTGCAATCGGTAACCCCGATTTCAACTCTTCCGCGTTAGACATCCAATCCACATGCGCGACCGACTCGGAAACAACTCGCTTTGAGAACGACGCGCCCGATTTTGACACTTTCGCGGCCAGCTTGGAGTCGGAAGAGCCCATCCCGGTGGTCGAGCAAGTCGAAGACAACGACTATGCGTTCGCCGACTTTGATGCGGCGGCCGAGGCGTCTGCACCTGCCACGGAAGAGCCGGTGTTGAGCGTCGAAGAGCCCAAGGCCGACGCAGAGGTCGATGAGGCTGTTGTCGCTGCGGAAGCCACACCTCGTGCTCCAGAGGACGTTGTTGTCGAGACCGAAGAACCGGCTGGCGATGCGGCGAGTCCCGTGTCGCCATCGGAAGCCGAGTACGAAGCCGAGTTTGACACGGTTGACGAGTCGCACGCTGTCGCCGAGGTCGCCGACATTGCTCCGGAAGCTGAAGCGTCGGTTGTCGCGACGGAGCCCGAGATCGTCGAGGCGGTGGAAGCGACGCCGATCACCGAAGAACCGAGTGTTGTGGAGACTCCCGCGGCCAGCTTGGAGTCGGAAGAGCCCATCCCGGTGGTCGAGCAAGTCGAAGACAACGACTATGCGTTCGCCGACTTTGATGCGGCGGCCGAGGCGTCTGCACCTGCCACGGAAGAGCCGGTGTTGAGCGTCGAAGAGCCCAAGGCCGACGCAGAGGT